TTTGACAGAGAGAGACACAGTGAGAGAGGGAACACAAGCAGGGCGAGTGGGAGAGGGAGAAGCAGGCTTCCCGCGGGGCAGGGAGCCTGGATGCGGGGCTTGATCCCAGCACCCTGGGATCATGACCCAAGCAGAAGGCAGATGCTTAACTACTGAACCACCCAGGAGCCCCTATAATTCCGTCTTCTAATTGGTCCCTCTGCTGCCAGTCTTGCCTCCTGTTCTTCAGTCCATCAGCCACAGTATAGAGTGACCTTCCTCAAACAGAAATCTGATCATGTCATTCTGAACAAATCTTCCTGTGGCTTTCCATTGCCATTGGACAATGACCATACTCCTTAACATGGTTTCCAAAGCCTACCTTATTCTGCCTCCACAGGCTTCCCCTCCCACCTCCCATGATGCTCCCCTCACAAGCAAACCCACCCATCTTTCATCTGTATTGCATTGATAACTTCTACTTATCCCTTAGGTCTCAAAATAGCTGTCTCTTACTTAGCTCTAGGAGGTCCCCTGGACCCACCACATCTGCATCAGGTGCTTCTTCTAGACATTCTCAAGCTCTCTGATCCTGTCCCATAGCATTTGTCTCATAGGGGGAATTATTATTTAATCATCTTTCCCCAAATGTAAGATTTTTGAGGGTAAGGATTGGGTCTGTCTTATTCACTTCTTTATTTACAATGTAGAACATAATGCCTGGCCCAAATTAGGTGCTTAACAAATACTTTGTGAATCAAAGGCTAAAATCTCAAACTAATCAAGGACCTTTGATCATCCAGCTAGTAAAGTTTACTGCTTTCCAGCTCTAACATTCTGAGCCCCCAGGAGTGAAACCAGATTGAAGAAATCTGATATTTTATGACTGGTCTACTTGCTTAAGCCAATGACTATCTCTTGCTCATGACAGAATCTCAATCAACCATGGTGAATTAGAGCCACTAAAATCCTTGGTTACATCTTATATTTAAAATACCTACATTGTCCAATTTCTCTATGGACCTGTTAATTTATTTAATAGAAAATATTTAAGACTCTCTCATTGAAAAGAACTATAAAGATATACAAATCTGGGCCCATTTTGCCATGTGAACAGAGCTGAAGAATTATACCAGTTATCTCACTGTATTCTGTACTTTCAGAGAGCCAAATATTCCTTTTGAACTGAAGCTTAATGCCTAAGATTTAGTTCTTGGCACAAAAGAAGTGCCATAGTAAACTTTTTATATGGAGGCTCTTAATTTTGCAAATGTGTTTGATACTCTACAAAAGCAATTTAAGTTAGCTGTAGAGAGAGAAACATATTGCAGCTTTTAATAAATACCTCCCACACCCTCATGAGAGAGGAAGAGCAATGGTGAGTGACCTGTTAACTTTCTCTCATGCAGCAATTACCTTGAGAAAAGTTACATAATAGCAGACATAGTAATACCTATTTTTTTTCTTAATCTGCTCTGTAAGGGAGTGTTATATTCCTTAATGGGACAGTGGAAAATAAATTACATTTATTGGCTTATATTGTATATTTATTGGCTTAAATTACATTTATTGGCTTATTGGATAAATAGCTTATATTCAAAAGTTGTGCTATGACTCTACATAACAGATGACTCATTCCCCCTTCCCCAAATTTTGAAATCTACATTTAAAAAAGCATTTTTGGTCGCAAAGGTTAAAATTTCTTTTTAGCATTTCTCACTGTGTCCACGGAGAACTTTCCTTGGAGCTAATTCCAACTACTCATAAATGTACACAAGTCTTCCTTCCACTGCAACTGCCATGGAAAGGGTTTGGAATCAAGCCTTTGCTCCACCCTGCTGCATGGAGCTGGGCTTCTAGAAAAATCTACGTGTCACACTTCGGCTCAAGGTGTTTCATTTTCCGCCACAGTGTAGAAGACATGATGTAATAGATGTGCTCATAATAAAGAGTGAAAATTTATTTTTATATCCTTCAACTTGGGAAGTTTATGGGCAATCTGAACTTCTTTTATTGGATCTTCAGATCTAGCTGATGACATCAATCAGGGTGAACAACCAAAGCAAATACACATGTTGTGCTCTTCATAATCTGGAACTTTTCATTTTGCTTTAAATATTAGTATAGATTATTCAGAATAAAATCTCATAATCCACTCTATCAAACTTGATATGTGATGCTGTTTAATAAAAACACCAAAAATTCTAAAAAACCACTAATAATACGGCTTAGCCGATGATTCATGGTTCTCTCATGTTGGGGGTATTATGTTCCTTTGAAGGCATGTATGGCATAGGTTCCAACTTTGAGTTACCTACTTGTAATTACTGGATTTGTTAGATTTGGGCTTCTTCTTCTTCCTCAGGCCAAAACTCATTCCTGTTCTCCCTCATGATAGCTGGGATCCAAAAAGGCTTGGGTCCCAAGGCAAGGGTGGGAGGACATGCAAAGATCCAGTATGTGCAGCAGCCAGGATCGAATGGAAGGTACCAGCAGAAGCGAGGCGGTGCAGGACCAGACTCACAAACTAAATGTAATTGTGCTGTGAGGGCAGAAGCAGATCTCTATTAGTTTTCTAGGGCTATCATAACACGTACCACAGACTGAATGGCTTAAAATAGAAATTTATTTTCTCACAGTGCTAGAGGCTGGAAGTCCAAGAATAAGACGTCTGTAAGGTTGGGTCCTTCTGAAGATCGAGAAAGAAGAATCTATTCCAAGGTTTCTCTCCTTGGCTTGTAGAGGGTTGCCTTCACCCTGTATCTTCACATTGTCTTACATCTGTATGTGTCTTCATCCAAATTTCCTCTTCTTGTAAAGATACCAGTCATACTGGAGTAGGGCCCACCCCAATGACCACATTTGAACTTGATAACCTGTGTGAAGACCCTATCTCTAAATCAGGTCTCATTCTGACCATACTGGCATTAGGACTTCAACATATGAATTTGGTGGGGGAATACCATTTGACCCGTAACAACATCCCAGAACAAGGAAACAAAGCCAGAGTTGAGAGCTGTATAAAAAAAGAAATATATGTAATTCAGAGGTGAAGTAAGGCAGGCTCTGGGTGACTGACACCAAGGGAGATGAAATATCCATCACTGCCTTTACTGATCTTTTTCTACAGGGTCATGGTGTACACTGTGTGCCTAGATGTGGGTAGAGCTGACTGCCTTAAGGGTTCAGGGTCTAATGTCTTCCCCTTTAATATCTTTTCCCAGAGCTAGCTAAGGTAGTTAAAGATTTCCCCTGGAGATGTAGAAAAAGAGAATTTAAACTTAATTTCCCAAATATGTTTGGAGCAGCTTCTGTGTACAAGGTCATGTAAGGCCATGGTAATGAGACTCTACTCTCAAGTGGTAGTGAAAACCACCAGTGTCCTTAAATAATGGCACTCAGTTCATCCTAGGTTAACAGTGGAAGGAGAATCATTTGCTGGGACAAAATTTTAATTCCCCCAAGATTCACAGTTCTGGTGATCTCTCACTATTTACTACTGCCAACCATCCTAGGAAACTGGATTATGTAACATCATGATACATCTCTTCATTTTATTTCATTATCCCCGAGTATTTAGTGAAGTATTATTTTAAAATGATAAAAGGAGGATCACTTAATGCCAGGTTATTAAAATAGTACAGTGGCCCCTGCAGCCAAGAAGGTAGCTCTAATAATTAGCGAAGGACCATCAGGGGTTCAGCAAAAGCCTTCTGTCTCCATTTCTAAATTTGAACGATGTGATCTGGGAGGTTTCCTTACATAGTTCTAGCATTTATGTCGTTGAGGGAGTCAGTTCTGAATTTTACATCATCCAGCCTACAGAATCAAATGATTGCTACACTTCTGAGCTACTTCTGAAATCTTGTGCTTTTGACATGTATTAATTAGCATATTTTCCTGACTATAACTCACATTAAAAAAATGATCTAATTTCTACATTTTCAAAATTATGCAGCTAGTTTTTTAAATGTGAAGTTTAAGTGTGGCTATGGAATGCTGCCTAATTTGCAGATTTACCAATTATTGATGGTTTGGATGTTATATAAAAAGAGTATTAAGCCTTGTTATACTACAAGAACTTTTTTATAGTATTTTTCATCCTTATCAATATTAATTTCGTAAGTAAGAGTCCATACTCTGATTCCATGTATAAGAACCTTATTTAAATCTACTATTCACAATCACGAGAAGGGAGATTTATGAAAACTAGAGCTAATTCCCAAGGTGAAAAAAATTAGAGCAGAAATAAAAATGAAAAGGTAGTCCATCAAAATATTGGAATCAATAGTGCCTACTGCTGTGTCACTGAACTTCTAGTAATTATCATTTACTTACGCTTATTCAGTTCACGCATGACTGGGGGCATTGTGCCATGAATTTTATTTACATTAGCTCATTCATCCTCACCGCAACCTTATGAAATTAAATATGATTAGTTTAGTTTACAAAAGGAAGATTAGGAAGGTTGATTAACAAGGAAATAGGGAAAGAGATGACTTCATTGTTTTGTCTCCTAAACAAGGCTCCCAATTAATCGGGTTCATGACAAAGGCTTTTCTAAACTCATGGGAAAAAAAATCAAGAACCACCAGTGTTATAACCAAATATATAAATAACTAATGTATGAATAACATACCAGGGGATATTGTATATCATGAAAGTGTATCTAATCATTACTGCAACTCTATTCAAGAATCTAATTGTCCCGTTTATCCTCCACATTATGAATTGTTTACTCAAATTTTGGGTTTCGTGTTTCTGTGATCTACAAAGCTGGAATGAAGTCTCTAATTAAATATCCAAGAATTGATTTCAGATGGGCAGGTGGCTTGGCCTCAAATCTTGACTCTTTAACAAATTAGTTAATTGACCTTGGAAAATTCACTTAGCCTAGATGCTGTCCTACAGGATTTTGTGAGATCTGAATGAAATCATCCATGTGAAAATACAGTTAGTACTTTGTGACACAAAGTTAGTAATCATTAAATGTTAACTGAATGGGACTATAAATCGGTTGTTTATTTTCAGATTTCTTAAAACTTATAAAACATTAGTTCTTTCTCTCTCACACATAATCCACACTCTTATATTTGAGTTGTATAGGTCAATTAGCTCAATGTCAGATTTCCAATGTCCCGTATAATATATATATTATATTTATACATATTTATATTATACATATTAATTATATATATTTTTCTCCTATAGAGACCAAGACCTGATAAATGTAATTGAAGTAAATTCTAATGTGCCTAAAAACAAAAATGGAAGGTAAGACTTATTATAATTTACTTTTTTGTTATCAATCCCATATAAGCCTACATAAATTATATAACCTTAGAAGATTTGCTGAGGAGTTGAATTGTATTATGGTATAGATATAAATACTACTGAAATACAAAAATCAATATACAGGGTACTTAATAGTTGATATGGAAAAAAGTGAACAAAATTCAAATTCTATTGGAATTTTGGACAAAGGGGCTTCTATTCAATTGCTTCGTGTAAAAGGCATCATGGAAATTCAAAGCTCTGCACTTGGGCTGTGAAAATTTATTTTTACTTATTGTTGCTTGGTAGTTCTTCAGTGGTGCAGAAAGCACTCTGGGACTTTCTTCCTTGGATACCTAGTTCTAAAAGAATGCACGGATTCATCACAGCTATAAGACAGGACCTAGTTTTGAAATTTCTTTACACCACAGAGTATAATAGCATTAAACTGTTGTACTTTGTTTTTTGTTTGTTTGTTTGTTTGTTTGTTTACAAGGAAAGTATAGCTTATAGAAGCTATACTTCATTGTTGTTACAGACTGTTTAAGAAAGCATGTTTTGCAATCCCCCCTCCCCACATATGGGAGACCCCAAACCAACAGGTTCCTATTTTCTACCTTCGTAAGGTGCAGTTGTCTTTTCTATTAATTTTTTTTATGCAAAGAAATGATATTGTCAACATTATGTGTGGAGAGTGAAAAAGCAGGAAGAGATCTGGGTCACTTCTTCCCCATAATGTCTACAAAAGATTTGCATCTAATGGGTAGTTTCTTTCTGTTCCCTTAATTCCTTAAATCATCTTCTGCCTTTTCTTCTTGTATCACAAAAAGCCTTTGATAAAATGAGGGAGGGTAAATTTTCAGTAGGATCTGTTTATCTTAGAAAAACATCCACTACTTTGGGAATAGGACCGGGCTTACAGTTAATCAGTCTTCCAGATAATTCAAGTATTATTTGGAAGTGATCAAGGTAAAAAAATTTTCAAGTCAATGATCATGTATGATTAAGGAACTTCTCATTTAATATGACTTCACAGATGTTCCAATTTCAGTATGGCTTTTTCATGAAATGGGTTTTATTGGAAGGATTAATGAAGAAATGAAATTTTATGGAAATTCAAGAGCAGGAATGGTAGCCTTGCCAGGCCTCATAGAGGCCTGAACTGGAAGGTTGTTCCTTCTTGGCCAGAGAACATTCCATCAGGAATCCGTGAACATTAACCCTGGTTCTTTGTCATTACTACAACTCAGCTACTCCCTGAATTTTGGCTCCTCCCCATTTTCCTCCCACTCTTCCTTCTGCCTGTTGGCCTCCTTATTCTCTACTCTATATCTCTTTGATAACCAAGATTCTTTGCTGCCTCCCAGTTTCTGCCTCCTCATACCTGGAGTTTACTCTAGCTTTCCGTGGTCTGTCTGGCTTTCTAAAGCAAGGCAGTGTGGGTGTGGCCATCTGCTTTGAAGATGGTGTGTAGATGGAAAACACCATGGTTGACAATAAGGTTCACACAGTCTCCTTCCCCTTCCTGCAATTTCATCTGTGTCTCCTGCCTGACATAATCCAACGATGACAGAAACATGCGCAAACACACCCACACTCTCCCCAGGGAGACAGGAATCAGCACATTCGGTGACTACATCTCGAGGCCTTAACTACCACCACTGCAAGACCGTTTGTTGATCCCTGAGTTCTGTTTTCAGGTGGTGTTTATTCTCCTTCAGTTCTATCACAATCCTGTAGATGTACGATTTCCTATGGTTCTGCTATCCAAAAATTAAATGGAAAATGTCACCACCACCCTAGCACTGACACAGCAATCATAATAAAAATTTTCACCTGGAAAAGAGTGGAAAGAAGAAATCTCTGGGCCAAACTTTTGTGCCCATGGATTCTGGCTGCAAAAAGGACTGTCAAAATGGGTCAATGGGTAAATCTGGAACAGAAAGAAAATAGAGAAAATTCACAGAGAGTAAGACTTGACCAAGTGCGGAAGGTTAGTAAGTTAGAGAGGTGGGATGAACCTATGTGTTCTGGCGGCAAATCCTCTCTTATTTTTTTACAGTAGAGTACTTTTTTTTTTTTTTAAGATTTTATTTGTTTAATCGACAGAGAGAGACACAGCGAGAGAGAGAACACAAGCAGGGGGAGTGGGAGAGGGAGAAGCAGGCTTCCCGCTGAGCAGGGAGCCCGATGCGGGGCTCAATCCCAGGACCCCGGGATCACAACCCGAGCGGAAGGGAGACGCTTAACGACTGAGCCACCCAGGCACCCCAACAGTAGAGTACTTTTTAAAAAAATACTTAAAATTTGAAATTTGTATAAGAGCTTAAGACCTTGACATTTTATAGAAGTAAACCCTAACACATATGATACAAAATATGGGCTCTTAATAAGATTTTATTCTTTTTGCAAAAGAGATTTATAAAGTTTGCAGGGGTATAGATATTTATCAGTTGAAATTGTTTTATGGTTTTTAATGTCAGGCTGCTAAGGCTAGGTTAGTAAGATGATGGAAATCCAAGTAAGAGTCCTGGACCAATCTGCTAAACTGAAACTTGATTCACTTTATGAACACATTCACTTTGTATAGTAATTGGATATCCAAGTAAATATATGTTCCTAATCAGTATATTCATGTGGTTGTGCAACCATCACCACAATCCGTTTTGGAACATATTTATCACCTCAAAAAGGAACCCCATACCATTAGCAGTCACACAACATTTTCTCCCCAACCCCTCGTCCTAGGCGACTGCTAATCTACTTTCTGTCTCTATGAATTGCCTATACTGAACATTTCATATAAATGGAATCATACAATATGTGGTCCTTTATGACTGGCTTCTTTCACTTCGTGTAAGGTTTTCAAGGTTCATCCATATTATAGCATGTATCAGTATTTTATTTCTTTTTATCCCCAAATAGTATTTTTTCCATTGTATGGCTAAACAGCATTTTCTTCATTCATTAATTGATGGGCGTTTGAATTGTTTTTGACTTTTGGATTGTATTTAACTATTGTGAACAATGCTGTATATATAACTTTTTATTTGGGATATGTTTTCATTTCTCTTGGGTGTATACCTAGGAGTAGAATTCCTGGATTGTGTAGTAACTCTACATTTAACCATCTAAGGAACCACCAGACTGTTTTTCAGATCAGCTGTACCATTTTATACTTTGGCAATGTATGAGGGTTGCAGATAGGTAAATTTTCAAGGTGAATTTCTACTGCAGGAAACATTTTCTCAAGAGTAATTCCATTAGGAATTCTGTAAGGTCCTATATACAGTGTTTGAGTTTATATTTTGTAGAGTTGTTATTTAATTAAGAAACAAAACCATGACCATTAATTGGAAGTTGTAATTTAACAATTTGTTTCAATGAAGAATAACTTCTTAACCATAAAACTGTTAAACAACAAACATTGTGAGTTAGAGTTCTCCTTTATGAGGATTATTTAAGGCATTTGAGAGGAATGCTTGGGCAGAGTTCTTTGATTGCACCAGTTCCCAAACTTTACTGTACATCACAACCACCTGCTGACCCAGGGATCATACTTTAAGAACCAGTGCTCTTTTGGGTAAGATGTTGGACTGCCCAACCTCTAAGGTGGTGGTTCTTAACCTTAAATTCCACGTGAGACTCACTGGAGAGGCTTAAAAGAAGCCCAGTGCCCAAGCTGTAATTCAAACTAATTAAACCAGACTATCTGGATGTGGGACCCTGTAGCATTATAAAAAGCACTACAGGTGATTTCACTGCCAAAGTATTTTCTAACTATTTCTATGGTTCTAAATAATAATAAAAAATAGATCACTTGTTGGCATCAAGATAGAATTTCCTGTGTAACATCATCACCATCTCATGAAGAGCAAAGAAAGACTTGGCAATGATCACAGACCCTAGGAAACTAAAGAGACATGATGATTTTGTGGAAGATACACCCTGGTTCTGATTCTGGAACTGAGAAAGGACATCAGTGGAAAAACTGATGAAATACAAATGAAGTCTGTAGTTTAGTTAACAGTATTGTACCAACGTTGATTCTTTAGTTTTGACAAATGTACCATGGTTATGTATGATATCAGTATTAGGAGAGGCTGGGTGAAGGGTAGACACGGCTTGTCCACACTGTCTTTGCAATTTTTCCATATATTTAAAATTACTCCAAAATAAAAGGTCTAAAAGATCTATATATATATATATATATATTTTTTAAGATTTTATTTATTTATTTGAGAGCGGATGAGAGAGAGCACATGGGAGGGGGGAGAGTCAGAGGGTGAAGACAACTCCCTGCTGAGCAGGGAGCCCAATGCGGGACTCGATCCAGGGACTCCAGGATCATGACCTGAGCCGAAGGCAGTCGCTTAACCAACTGAGCCACCCAGGCGCCCTAAAAGATCTATATTTTTTTAATCTGTCATCTTCCAAACCTACTGGTGGAGTAAAATCCATCAAAGAGTTTATTGTTCCACATTTCAAATTTGTTTACTAATATTTGGTTTTTATTCACAATTATACAAGTTAAATCTTCATGAAGGCATAGTCATTAATCTCATTATAAACACAACTAGGAAATGCTACTCGTATTATCACTCCGTCTGGGCTGCCATAGCAAAATACCACAGACCGAGTGGCTTAAACAACAGAAACTTATTTTCTCACAACTCTGGAGGCTGCCAGTCCAAGATCAAGGTGTTGGCAGGTTTGGCTTCTCCTGGGGCCTTTCTCCTTGGCTTGCAGATGGCCATGTTCTCACTGTGGCCTTGCATGGCCTCTCCTTTGTATTTGCACGAACACATGCAGATCTCTCGTGTCACTTCCTCTTCTTAAAAGGACACAAGTCCTATGGCCCCACCCATGACCTCATTTAACCTTTTTCACCTTCTTATAAGCGCTGTCTGCAAATCACATTGAGGGTTAGGGTTTCAACATATGAATTTTGGGGGGAGACAATTCAGTCCATAACAGTACTATTTGAAAATTATTTCCTTTTTCTATTTGCCAATTTTGCTAACTGGTGATATTTGATTTTATACTGCTGAGGATGGCGCAAGCACATTTCAGACTCACTGACAACCCTTGTTCTTTGAAGCTGTTTATCTGTTAAAATTGGGTTTTTGTATTGTATATGATATGATTTGAATATTTCCAAAAACTGCTAGCTAGGTTTATAATTCCTGGAATGACATATACTAATAATCACGTTAGAAAATCTGATGTTATTTCTACTTTCTCATTACTTAGTATCATTTTAATGTGGCTGTATGTTTTGTGAAACATCTGTCTTAAAACTAGAAGATGATTTTCTGTATGCCAGAGATAATATGTGAACAAATGTTTTCCTCTTCTTTAAGAGCTATCAGGGAATGGAAGGAACAGCGTGTTTAAAAATGATAAGGCTTGATTAAGATCTAAACTGTCCTCTTGGTTTTCACATCTCTTCTATATCAGAGTTTACTAACCTGGAGGGAGAAATGTGGCTAAAATTTTTACAATTCCTGCGTTAAAATTTTCCTTTGTTCCAGAGGAAAAAGAAAATATGCCTACACTTTTCTAAGCGTAGTGATATTTTTTTTAGTTAGCAGAAATCTAGGTCAGGATTCTGTAATCTTCAAAATATTCCTTTCCATTAAAAACAAGATGGAAACTGTAATTTCCAAAAGCAACCCCTGGATAATTTTCATCAAATTGATAAACTCTCAAGATATATTCTACATTATATATTATTATTATATATTATACATGAGAAGCTTTCTACAGTGGCCCTGCTGTAGATAATATGACACATGCCTGTAGATTATTCTTAAAGGTAAGACAGTGGTCGCTGTGGAGAGTGAAGCAGTGTATGTATTCTATTTCTGTATCTGCACAGAAACAAGACAAACATAAAGAGGTTCATGTATGTAAAGAATGTCAATTGAACAGAATTTTAATAAAACAAAAAACTTCTAAGTGGCCTTAGAAATGCCAAATATTTGTGTTTGCTTTCCCAGGCTAGATGGCCAAGTCGATGGATCCATGGATGCTTTAAACACCCAGCTCACTAGAACTCCTGCCCATTTGTATGAAGCCAGGAGAAATCTCAGGTACTGCAGCCAATTATAAAACAAATGACAGGACTATTCTCCTTCTGTTTTTAAAAATCGTCTTATATAAAATCTGACCCCTCCTTTGAAATTTCTAATTTTATCCGTGACTATATGTAAACCACTTCACACAAAGGCATTAATAGCTTAGTCACTGGGAAGTTTTGATACCTGCATAGGAAAGTGTAAATGTGATTTTTCCCTGAAAATTTTACTTTTTTTTTTTTACGAGCCTGTTTGTGACATTGGTGTTGATATTCTTTAGGTAGATTTAAAGGTTTCATTAAATTACATGTTATCATGTTAGTTCATTAAGGTCAACTTTTTGAGATTTATGGGGAAAGTTATGGTTTGGAAATATGAATGAGACACCAGGGAAACAAACAGTAAAATGTATTATACAAATATTCCAAATAATCTTCATGCTCTACAGCAGATATTCTGAGTGACCAATTTTCATAGCAGCATTCTGGAAGTAGGCCAAGACAGTGGAAGCTAAGAACAAAATAGGAGATATGAAGACATTTTGCAGAAGTGGTTTAACACCCCTTTAACAATTACATTTCAAAAGTTATAATTTAAAAGGAATATATAAGCACTATTTGTTTGCATTGAATTGGATAATAGCCTTATTGTTTTCATTAGCCTTGTAACTAAATTTTAAACATTAAGTAAATGGTTTGAATTTCAGCTTCAATGCTGAAACCAGGCATGCAGGACCGAAGGATACCTTTGTGTATACAAGGACGTATGTGGAGAACAGGTACTGGAAATTTATTTAAAATATTTTGCTACATTTATTGTAATTTTGAAATAATCTGTATGTAAGAAGAGATGCTATTATTTTGGCGTAAGCTTGGTTTTTCTCAAATAGAAGACCATTTAGGAGTATATTAAGTTCTAGGTATATAATTCTTTATAATGTTTCCAATATCAAGTAGTTGGCAAATAATCATATACAGTGATTGGATGAACCGAATACTTGAATATAACAAGTGTATACATAATAGGATAACCATTTGTCAGTTCTCACATAATCGTATGTAACTGTATGTTTATAACAAGCTTTATAAAATTACACAATACAAAAATACACAAAATTACACAAATACTCCTTTACTGACTTCAAGTCCCACTTAAATAGTTCTATATACTACTCTGGTTCTGTTATTGTTTGCCTTTATTCTGAAATAAGGGGTATTACCTTTAGTAGATACGCTCTGGCCCAAATTACAGAGAATTGATATCCCCAAAAATCTGCTGCTTGGAGTGATGGGTGTTGAGGAAAATGGGTGTTGAGGAAAATGTCAAACAATCCATTCCATTTCAGGGAGTACAAAAACAAGAATTAGCCTAACTGTGGGGTAATATACTGATGGGGAATGCAAATGTGATCTATGTGACATATGTGTCCATCAGAGCCCGTTTCAAAGAAGGGAGAACATCTCTGGAGAGGGGTCCCTGAAAGGACTCTAGGGACATCATTATATGTCAGAAGGTGGACAATTTTCCAAAAAAAGGTTTCTCAAAACCACACATCATTTTCCTTGTAAAATTCAGCTTCAAGTTTGATCTTTCTGCTGAATCTAATTCTCCCTAAACTGTATGCTGATGTTGCAGTATAGCGTAGAGATCCTGGCATCAGATCTGGGATTGAATCTATGTCATTTGCTAACCATGTGGTCTTGGCAAAAGCAACTTAATTTGTTCACATCTCAGTTTCCTCATCAATAAAATGGGAGTAATAATATATTTATCCTGCACAAATGTGTACATACTCTTACTTAGCATTATGGGTTACATATTCCAAATAGATTCTGACAACAGTCTGCCTGTGGGTAGTTTGGAGGGAGAGAGAGATTTCCTATTTAAAAATCCCAGGTGAAGGTTGTGGAATTACCACTCACTGTATGAAATAATAGGAATGTATTGCTTCCAGCCTTAATATATTCCCAGGTAGCATAAGTCTTGGGAAGCAATTATGAGCTGCTAGCTGGTTAGTGCATTGCAGATTTCATTTGTCTCTGGGAAAGACTGACATTTACAAACTGGAGCAGTCTGAGAAATGGAACAAAGAGGACTTAAAATTACTTTTTTTTTTTTTTTTGCTTTCATTCTGGACTATTTTTTCTTGGATGTTTTCAAATAAAAATAAACATTTCTACAGCTTTCTCTAAAAGTTCAAGAGTCTCTGCTTCTCTACCTGAATGGTGATTTTTGTATGTGCTTACACTGGCTTATGCTTTGCGTATTTCCTTTTCTCTGTTAGATTACATGTGGCTTTCTTCTAGTAAATGAATGAGGGAGGGGCAAGTATAAATTTCATTAGAAATGGTAACTTCTTTTCCTGTTCATACTTGTTCCTGTGCTCCTCGCCCTATTCTCTATTTACTTCAGTAGATATGTCAACTTATGTCACCTTGGAGGTGGCTTGTGTATTAGCTCATCTCGATATTAAAAAAAAAAAAAAAAAAGACGTTAGTACATGATGTTTGTAACATCACAGAGAAGAATAATAAGGCTGCATGAGGAGCCGTGTGTGCTTTGTCACCTGCATACGGGTGTGTACAACAAGACTAGGGAAATAGTCCAATTCTCACACATCCATATATGTTTGTTTCTAGAAAATCACTGAAGGATGGATATCAGAATATCTCTGGAAAATACATACAAACTGTTTATTCGACTTCAGATAGGTAAGTATGTCTATATTTCCACGCCTAAAAGTATATATACACACATACTTACATGCACATATGTACACTTATATATACATATGTGTGTATATATACTTCCATTATAATATATATTTTATGTATTTTAGTGTATATGTATATATGCATATATATACTTTCACATATAATATATATTTTATATCCACATCTGATATATTTTTATTATATATATAACATTGAAATATGTGATTCTTGTTGTCCATTGTACTTAGAGACGGCGTCCTGATGGTGATTGTTATATATGTGTACGAATGGAACAACGTACAACAACCTCTGCATCCAGGAATTAATTCTTTGGCTTCCTGTGTGTTGCTGCTCTCTGATTTTGATGTACTTGATGTACTTCATTCCAGTAGAGTTTTGCATGCTTTCCAGCTATCTCCCAGGCCAGCTCCTCTGCTGTTGCTGATTCCCAGGAGTCCCTGTTAATGCCACATTTTTAGTGTCTAGGCTCCATTGCATCACTTGACTGTGCCCTCAACCCTCCCTCCTTGTGGTTTTCCAGAGCCAGCTTACCTTACAAACAGCTGCGTGGATATGCTGCTATGATGCACTCTGGGCCCACACTCACTTCTCAAGACAGGGGTTATAATGCATATCAAGTTAGTTCTGGGAAACGGACACCAGGCTCTTGCTGTTGGTGATCCTTTTTTACCATTTAATGTTCAGTGAGGCACATAGGTGATGCTCATGAGAATATAGCCTGCAGATTTCCAGTGGACAAAATGAAAATAATTAGCATTTCAACCCAACCACTGGAAACAAGCTGTAATGCAAAGGTACAATGTTTTATGGATGGTGTTTCTTTATAACAGAGGCGGGACATATGACTTATTGAGGGTGAGGGCATATCTTATTTTTATGCCCAGCCTCAGCTTGTAATGCAGTGTTTGGCAACTAACAGGTACTCAGTAAATGTTTTCAGAAAAAATAAACTAATGCTCTGTTTGCTAAGAAAAACACGGATGGGCCAGGCATCAAAATTATATCCTCTTTCTGTCAATTTTATAAGATCTTGTAGTACCAGGGATCTTTAAGTTACACTTCCTTGAGGGATAAAGTCATCTGTGCAAGCATTAAAGCTACAAACACTGTCTAGATAACTAAAAACAAACTAACAAATAAAAAACAGAGCTTTTTTCATAATGCTTTGAAAAAGGTCTTTGATTAACAGTATGATCTTAATAAGGACAACACCAACATCAGAGCTGTCCCTGGGCTCATGTTGTTACTGTTAACTTAAGGAAGGAAAACATTCTTCACAGAAGTATTGCTCTTAATATGAAGAATTTCAGTTCTGTTACTCAAGTGGTCCTTGAAATTTTTCTTAGTCATCAGAGCAAAAGTCAATTCTCTGTAAGACCAGTCAAGCAACTTTTTTTTGCTGATTATTGTGTAAAATTAACTAAATTCCCAGAGTTCTTATCTAAGTATTTCAATCCCATTTAAAGTGGCTTCACATTTTACAGGATAAAGACTAATTCCTTTGCACAATTATTTATGGGCCTTTAAAACCTGCTCCTGCTGAATATTGACTGGTGTTTAATCACTCCAGATACTCTCTTGGGTACATCCTGTTCACTCTGCATGGAATTCCTCTCCCCTGCCCCTCTGCACCTCACCGAGCTCACCTTGAAAGCTCCTCTGTCTTCAAGCTTTAACTCATGTGGCACTTTTTCCAACAAGGCCTCCCTGACTCCACGCCGGGGAAGAGTTGCTTCGTTGGCCATGCTCTCCTAATTCTCTCCATGTATCCGTAATATGCTGTGATCATCGAATCATACACTTGGCTGCCCTCATGGAAGGAAGGAGACCATCTCACTCTTCTTTATATTCCCAGCTCTTCCCTCAGTGCCTCTACAATGGAAGCAGAGTAGAGAGTGCCTGTTTTCTACTCTTGAAGCGCTTACAGTCTTACATGGGAAATTTAAGTGTGTGTGCACACATGCATGTATATATATGAATTATGCATAGGAAAGTATTTGCCAGGAATATGTAAGGAAGTACCTTTAGAGTTAATTGAAAGAGGAAAATATTTATTGATATATATATATAAGGACTTGGAAGAAGGTGTTAGAATGACTAAAAGTATAAAACCAGACAAATTTCATCTGCTTGAATCTCATCTACCTCCTCCTTCCATCTGTTTTTCTCTCCTCTCTGCTTCTAGTCCTGGGCTTGATCCTAGGATCAAGGCTCCTGGGCACGACTAGTTCACTTTCCCACAGGGAGCCCAATAGTCTTCATGGGCAGGCCTAGGGTAGCCCAGGGACTCTGGGTCCACACTGCCTCACTCAAATCCTGCCCCTGCCACTCAATTGTCTGCATGACCTAGCAAATTTCTTACCCTTCTAAGCCTCAGTTTCTTCTTCTGTAAAATGATGTAAAAATAGTCGTACCTGCTTCTCAGACATGTTGTGAAAAATAAATGAGTTTATATGAGCCATGTGCGTGGGAAGCACACTGCCTGTATAAAGTATATTAGCACTATATAAGCATTGGCTATTTTAAAAAAATATTTATTTATTTTAGAGAGAGCA